CTTGGAGATAATTTACTAACAGGTGTATCTTTGATTGGTTTTATGTGAATTGTGTTGACTTAATGACCAATTTAGTTTATTTGTGTCGAGACTCTGGTCAGTCACAGGTTTTTATTATCATTCTTTTCTAGCCTTCTGTTTGTATCCTTTCTCTATAGTTNGACATCTCCACTGGAGATTTTGGGGACACAAAGCCCACCTTTGCAGTGACACACCCCACAGGGATGGGTGTTTCTGTCCCATGTTTCTGTCACTAATGGCCCAATTCAATGTCATACCAGCACAAACAAAGCAAATGCTCCCCAGGGAGTGCAGGAGAGCACAAAGACTCAGCAAGGGAGAACACGGATGGGAAGGAACATTTCTTGCCCCATAAACACCTCCTGCTTTTCTCCCACCTGGAGCAGGCTCAGCCCTCACCACCAGCCCTGCTGCCCTGATGAGGCTCAGCACTGAAATTGCTCCTTTCCTCTGTGGTTTGCTGTGATCTGCCAAACTCCCTGGGACTGTTTTTCTCCTCTGACTGGCCTCTTCCTGCACAGCACGCTCTCCTGCATACCTTCAGCAGCAGGGCAGGCAGCTGAGCCTGACAGCTGGGGAAGGCAGCTCCAGAACAGGACAGGTCACCCCCACCCAGGGAGGGCAGCTGGAGGCAGCTGCATCCCCTGCTCAGCTGTTTGTGCTGGACCAGCCACAGGTTCCAAGGGAGCCCAGAGCCCCAGGAGCACCTCCTGGTGACCCAAACCCTGGAGCACCTCCTGGTGACCCAAACCTGGAGCAGGAGCTGCCACACGTTGTCCCTGCTGCAGACATCAGAGGGGCAGGGTCATTGTTGAGGTGGTCACAACACAAAGCAGAGACTGCAAGCAGTCTCAGATGGTAACTCTTTATGATGGAAAATGGCTGAGTTTTTATATACTTTCTAATTGTTTATATTTTTTTACTCTATTGGTTTCAATAAATTAACATAACACTATTAGTGAAAAGCAACAGTAACTTCAGCTAACTTTCTAAAAATATTTCACCTAGTTGTAAAGTTCTTTATCTTTTTTCAATTCTTCTTTTCTCTCAGTCTCTTTAGTAACAGCTTTAGAAGAAAAAGCTCTTCATTAGCTTCTTTTTACCTCTGAACTTCTTCTCACTCTTTTAACTCTTAGCTCTTCACACAAAGTTGGGAATTGTTTCCATGGGTTAAAATCAAAGGCTCAGGTGTTTTTGACTCTGTGCCAGGGTCT